GGCCCATGCATCGCTGGATGTCAGGAATTACGTAGTGGGACGCCACTAGATAGGAACTCATGGAAGCGCCTCTACGGGCTACGACCAAACGGACAACGAGTGCGTCAGTATTGGACGCAATGACTCACACGTAAGGTGTCGGAAGATGACTCAATGTGAGCTTGCTGTGAGCCAATGAGGGACAGTTCTTGTTAAGCACAATCCCGGGCTTAGCAATCAGATGAGATGAGAAAGTCTGAGTACATATCGCCTGCTCAATTGCTCCAACTGGCAACTGCACTGCACGATTCGTCTGGTCTTCCTTCTGGTTACAGGCCACCTAGAATGAGATGAGAAAGTCCGAGTACATATCGCCTGCTCAATTGCTCCAAATGGCAACTGCACTGCACGATTCGTCTGGTCTTCCTTCTGGTTACAGGCCACCTAGAATTTTGTGCGCGAAACGATTTAACCCGGTCTCGCGACGCCTGTCGTCTGCCTCGTTGCGGTGCTGCTGCGGGTGCTGGTGCTGGCGCTGGTGCTATCGCTTGTGGCGGCGGTGGCTGCGGCGGTGGTGATACCGCGTGCAGAGCCAGAGCTTGCAGCTTTCCCTTCTGCCGATGCGCAAGCACCCTGGGTAATTCCCACAAACTCCATTTGCTTTTTTGACTGTCAACATCTGTTTGACAACGAAAGCCGAACCTGCAGCCGCTCGAATGACCTTGATTTGCGTCTCTCGAGACTCGGCATTGCAATCCTCCTCCTCTCCGATCTGGCTTTTATAGAATGCAGCGAAAGCATCCTTGCTTGCATCTATAGGTTTGCTGATCCGCCCTTGTCGTCCCATCTCCATCGTCAACGGACGAAGAAGCTGCTTGTTGAGTTTGATATTGGGCAAACTGGGCACAATACGAGCCTTGCTCGTCTTTTCGTCCTCAACTAGTCGCTTCAGCTTCCGCGCAGCACGGAGGAGGTAGGCAACTTCTTCCCACATCGCGATGCACGCATCGAATGTTATGTCCCCCATGCTGCGCCAACATGGCTTTTGAACCCCGACTGCGAAACACAGCAAATCATCGCACGCAAGGTACGCACGAACCGGTCGCCACGTACGCCAGAAGTCTCGCAGCATCACGCCGGTGCGTACCGTGACGGTGGAAATCTTCTTCATGAGAACAGAAAGCACGCCAATCCTTGCATGTGCAATGCGTGAGTCAGCCTTTGCAATTACTTGGGGAAGGCTGTTGCACTCGGTCTCGTTGAAACGCTATCAATAGTGAATCTATAGGAAAGCCATATAACTTCCATGACATGACGTGCACCTGTTCCGAGCCGCGTGGAAATCTTCTTCACGAGAACAGAAACAGGCCAATCCTTGCATCTGCAATGCTTGAGTCAGCCTTTGCAATTACTTGGGGAAAGCTGTTGCATTCGGTCTCGTTGAAACGCTATCAATACTGAATCTACAGGAAAGCCATATGACTTCCATGACATGAAGTGCACCTGTTCCGAGCCGCGGTCCTCGATCACATGCCCCAAGCCTTTGCCGGAATCACGGCTGTTAAGCAATTCGACTATTCATTAACATGCGTTCGGTTACGCAGGGACTCCAGCCCAACTTCAAGCTCCTTCTTAGCCACTGTTTTAAAGGGTCCTCTGCGTCGCTACGGCGCTGGCTCGGGCACTGGCGTCGGTGGCGGTGGCGGCGGCGGCGGTGGCGCTTCCGTGGCTTGAGCGGTCAGTGACTAAAGTTGATGCTGAATGTCAAATACCAAATGCGACTTCAGCAGTGCGAAGCAAATTTCTTGCAGACAACTGCCGATCTGTAGCCCGCTCAGCCTTCAGAACAAGGGAACAAGCAGTGACGACCATCAGACATAAGGACTCGCACAGTATAGCACTGCTTCGTTTGCGCGCAATCTATGGACGCACTCTTTTTTGTTGCGCGAGTCACAGGTGGACACATCGTCCATGTCCCACGCCAGCACCGTTGTGCATACGATAGTGCAAAGTCGCAGTCGCTGCCGCCACATGGATCAGAAGCATTGACATGTGCAAGCGGCTGCGTCTTCACTTGTGAGACCTCCTCTTCTGCTTAGAACTCTTTGCATCTAGAGCAATGTCTGCGTTATCTGCCTTGCGCTTTCGTCCGGCTGTCCGAACAACTGGAATGTTGCGTAGGTCTACGTTGCCCTCACCTTCGAGGGCCTTGATGAACGCGGCGTGTTCACAATCGCCATGCAGCAGGAACTCTAGACACGTGCACACTATTGATGGAAAGGCTGTCTGCAACCTGCGCCTGAGGCGTGGCCAGCAGGAATCTGGCAGATGCCCTTTCATCACACAGCAATGCTTGTTCAGGTAGAACTGCAGCGCTGGAAGCTCCAAAGACTCCTGTCCATTCTCGGACTTCAGGATGCCTGCCTGCAAGAGCTGGTCCTTAAGGGCCGCGCCATCCTTGGCGACCAGGCCAACCACTCTCTCCGCTGTCTCCTTTGTGGCTTGCGCTGGAAGCACGTCCCCAACTTTTGAACAGCGCATGACATAGAAGACGGTTGTGCCGTCCTTTCCGGACGCGTCTGTGGTCGTTGCGTCTGTTCGCCAATGCATCTTGTAGTGGTTGCAGTGGCCGCAGAGCTTGCGCCCTCGTTCCGTGCCCGGCGGTGCGCAGCGCTTGATTGAGAAGTTCTTGCGCCGGGTACTGAGGCCACGTCTGGAAGACACGGGACTCCTCCCACTGGAACTTCTTCGCCCAGTCGTCGTGAAACAGTTTCTCCATGCGGGCGAAAATTGCGCGAGGGCCAGAGCGAACGCTGCTGCGGACTGCATCTTGCCAGTATGCGTGGAAGGACTCCAGGGGCTGTGTGCCTGACCCACTGCCAGGGTATGTTCCGGTCACACCGGCCCAAAAGCCTGCAAACCAGCAAAATTGGAATTCCACACGGGTTCTCCGCACCAGAACTGCCCTTGCAAGCTGGCCCTCTTCACCTGGTCGAAATAGGTGGATTTTAAATATGCGCCGGCATCTTTGCTCACTTGCTGTAGCCAAGCGAAAGTCAAATGCCAGACTGCGTGGAAGAGGATAATGGTTGGCATCACTCGGCTTGCCTGGATGATGGCATCCAATCGGTCAAACGCTGTCTCCGTGTTGTCTTTCTTGTGACCTTTCTGCCTTGGCACAGGTTTGACACGAAGCAGCACTATTCACTATTTCCCACTCCATGCGCCTTGAAAACAGATATCTGAACGAACCTGGCCCAACTACGTCGTTCTTCTTCGCTCTACCCTCATTGCACCACGTGGGCAAACATGAGGACGCACAAGCACTCAGAAGACGTTTTGCGCCAGACTTGACGTGAGGTGGAGGCTGGCGCGCACCCACACAGAAAAACTGAGGCCCGTACACACGGGTGAGTCCCATTTTCTGCTTGAGCACGCTGTAGGATGCCCGCCGCATGTGGGGGTAGTCATCACATGGGCGTGCGGAAGGAAATACCTTGCGCCAGGCTGCCTCTATGCCCTTCGCATAATCCTTGTGCACTTGCCAGACCTGGGTTTTCAGATCCAGGCTGCAGCATTGCGCGGCGATCTCGCAGGCCGCAGTGAAGAACTGCGCGACGTTTTCCTCCGTTTCTGAGTTCACCAGCGCTTGCATAAATGGCTCCTGTGTCAGGGTGTGCACCTTCGGTCGGCTGCTGACACGAGCGCGGCTGTCGCGCGTTTGCGTGACATATTCACTCGACACAAGGAAGGACAGCGTCAACACGGAGTAATTGTTGCAAAGAATCTTTTGCTTGCCGTCTACGGCCAGCTTCACGACCTTGTTTCGAGCAGCTTCTGCGCGGCTCAACATGCCCGGGCATGTCCAGATTGCACAGACACGATCCTCCTGGAACACAGGACTGGGTAGCACGATGAGTTTGTGCAAAGGCTGCGTACGCCACTGGGCAATGTCAGCAATGAATGGACTAGCCGCAGCGTACATCTCTGCCGCCAAGAACTTTTTGGGCTTCGGCGGCGGAAGCGCAGACATTTTTTTCGAGTCCTGCTAACCCAAGCATGCAGCTGCGCGTCAGTGCACCGCAACGGCATGTTGGCTTGCTTGAACACTGCTCGCACCATCTTCGCTGTGACGTGGGCTCCTTCATCAATCTTGTTTGCTAGCATGTGCTCCTCGGCTACCGTCCAGAGGGAGCCTCCGGAGGGTTTCTGCAACGTCCCATGCTTACCCCGCGCACGAACCTGGAGACGTGGGACAGCATCCCCACACCGAAAGGATGCCCGAAGCTGCCGTGTGCAGCCCTTGCACGCTTCCGGCTTGCATGCAGCCTTCAGCCGGCGCGTCGGACCCTCCACACCCAAATCCACGAAAGTGTAGATGCCGGGATCCCGCCTTGCTCCAACCACTTGCTCAACTTCGGATCGCAA